CCGCCTTGGTGAATCCCATGTGCACGGTCTCCGACCTTTACCGCCTTGGTGAATACCATGTGCACGGTTTTCTACCTTTACCGCCTTGGTCAATCCCATGTGCACGCTCTCCGACCTTTACCGCCTTGGTGAATCCCATGAGCACGGTCTTCTACCTTTACCGCCTTGGTGAATCCCATGTGCACGGTCTCCGACCTTTACCGCCTTGGTGAATCCCATGAGCACGGTCTTCTACCTTTACCGCCTTGGTGAATCCCATGAGCACGGTCTACAACCTTTACCGCCTTGGTGAATCCCATGTGCACGGTCTCCGACGTTTACTGCTGTCTCCGACAACCAAGTCACCATGCCCACAGCGTATAAATGAACCTTGAAAGGTTCGCTTCGTGCTATTGAGGGTACAACATGCTCAGTTAATGTTCTGTCAAGGTAGCTGTGCTACTCAGTATAATGACTTTCACGCATGCGTCATAACCGTCAAAGGCGACTATGCTTGTCGTAAGAGGCGACTAACGGGATTGGGTGGTCAGGCTCGCTGACTTTGTTGATGCATGTCATCGTATCCCAATTGCGTGAATCGATGCTCATGATGTCAATCACTGGATTGTCTGGCCCAGACTCGATTATTTACAGACCGCCGTCATATAGCTGGGACATTGCTGAGAGCCGCGTTTAACAACAACAAACAAACAAACAAAACAAACAGGAACCGTGAATGATGTAGGGGTGTATGAGCAGTAACATACTACGTATGTCCGCTAACGGCAAAGCATTTAAAGGTATGGCACAAAAGAGTTGAACACACATTGTATCCTATGAAAAAATACTGCTCATAAAAAAGAGGATATTACAAAAAATGATTTCGTTTTTGTACAACCTGTCCCAGATGGCCGTCATATCATCTACATAATTGATTTATCATCCCAAACTGGCTTCCACAGGAAGTATCGCTTGGGTGAGATCAAGCGATATCTAAACTGGGCGGCAAAAGAAAGTATAGGTCGAGTTCCATGATCGATAAAAAAATAACAAGAAGAGGTTTTGTTGTGAATTATACTATAATCTAGGGAGGGGTAACAAATGATTGATCAACCACAGTTTGAATGAAATTGTGCAATCACAAGTTGTCTGAAATGTCACCAAAAAAATGTCAGACACACTACAAGTTCATTGTCGACACAGTTGCCTTCAACAGTATGACGTCCAGCTGCCTCAATGCATGCTGTGATACGCCGCCCCATCGATGACGTCAGTCTTCTGATGACGTGGACCGGAATCCGTTGCCACTCGTCTCTCAGGGCCTGCTGCAATTCTTGCCTGTTGACGGGAGGCTTATGGCGTGTTCTAATCTGTCTGTCAAGATGGTCCCCCAGATGTTCAATAGGATTCATATCGGGTGAGTGGGCAGGCCAGGGCAAAACGTCAACGTTCTGCTGGTTTAGAAAGTTCCGAGTCAGTCTTGCAGTATGGGGCCTGGCATTGTCGTGTTGAAACCATGTCCCTGCTTTTGGTTTTGTAAGAACGGAATCACAACTGGCTGCAACACTTGGTCTCAGGTTTCCCCGTATAATCACCAAATCAGTCTTCTGATCTCCACAAATACCGCCCAACACCATGACACCTCCCCCGCTGAATTGATGGACCTCTCGAATACACGCCGGAGCCAAACGTTCCCCTATGCCCCTCTGCGTCGTTGTAACTCGGGGTCGTCCGGTTCTAGGCCTGTCCTGTCTCCTCCCTGTCTGCCTGTACCGTTGAATCAGCCTGGCTACTGTCAATGGTGTACAACCAAACCTTCTGGCAATTTGGACCTGTGTTGCCCCCATTTCAGCCATAGCGATGGCTCTCTCTCTGCTCCGGTGACAGTCGTGGCATTTCTTTTATGCGCCTTCATCACGTGTGGTTATACCCTGCAGACGAACGCATTTATACAGCTAACATGCACGTGCAGTTTATGACATAGGCGGGAAACCTCTTTCACCATTTTTCTTGTCACCGCACGAGCGCCGTCAAAGGTGGCGCGTTCGGGTGAGGTGTTTTTTGGTACCTGTTTCTGGGCAGTCATTTTCCCAATACCAACTTTCCACTAGTTATCGCTGTTTTTAGGAAAATTACAAATTGAAGATAGCGCTGCAATGAAACTGCATCACAACGCAAGAGGACCAGCAGTCTAGACCATCCGCTGAAACGCCACTGGGCGGAGAAAACTAGTGACGGCACCAGGTGCTCGTGAAAGGGCAAGCACATCCCGCCTTACTACCCTGTTAGTCCTGGCTACCCCAAGACAGGTGCTTGTTATCTCCTTAATTAACCCGAGTTTACCTGTGAATTGTAGTCCTTAAAACAGATCTGCGCCGTGGATACCCCCAGACAGGTGCTTGTTATCTCCTTAATTAACCCGAGTTTACCTGTGAATTGTAGTCCTTAAAACAGATCTGTGCCGTGGATACCCCCAGACAGGTGCTTGTTATCTCCTTAATTAACCCGAGTTTACCTGTGAATTGTAGTCCTTAAAACAGATCTGTGCCGTGGATAACCCCAGACAGGTGTTTGTTATCTCCTTAATTAACCCGAGTTTACCTATGAATTGCAGTCCTTAAAACAGATCTGTGCCGTGGATAACCCAAGACAGGTGTTTGTTATCTCCTTAATTAACCCGAGTTTACCTGTGAATTGTAGTCCTTAAAACAGATCTGTGCCGTGGATACCCCCAGACAGGTGCTTGTTATCTCCTTAATTAACCCGAGTTTACCTGTGAATTGTAGTCCTTAAAACAGATCTGTGCCGTGGATAACCCAAGACAGGTGTTTGTTATCTCCTTAATTAACCCGAGTTTACCTGTGAATTGAAGTCCTTAAAACAGATCTGTGCCGTGGATACCCCCAGACAGGTGCTTGTTATCTCCTTAATTAACCCGAGTTTACCTGTGAATTGTAGTCCTTAAAACAGATCTGTGCCGTGGATACCCCCAGACAGGTGTTTGTTATCTCCTTAATTAACCCGAGTTTACCTGTGAATTGTAGTCCTTAAAACAGATCTGTGCCGTGGATACCCCCAGACAGGTGTTTGTTATCTCCTTAATTAACCCGAGTTTACCTGTGAATTGTAGTCCTTAAAACAGATCTGTGCCGTGGATACCCCCAGACAGGTGTTTGTTATCTCCTTAATTAACCCGAGTTTACCTGTGAATTGCAGTCCTTAAAACAGATCTGTGCCGTGGATACCCCCAGACAGGTGTTTGTTATCTCCTTAATTAACCCGAGTTTACCTGTGAATTGTAGTCCTTAAAACAGATCTGTGCCGTGGATACCCCCAGACAGGTGTTTGTTATCTCCTTAATTAACCCGAGTTTACCTGTGAATTGTAGTCCTTAAAACAGAGCTGTGCCGTACTTCATAGTCTGTGAGCGGAGGGTGTTTTATTAAAACTTTGCATGGCACAAGACCCGCCGCAGGCCTCCATGTTTTTCTTCGGTTTGATGGAGTGCATGTAGACATTGTTACGCTGATTCTACAGCCCTGTGATAAATTAAAGATTAAAAGTATTCTTGTTGAGGTTCCTCGGTTGAATAAGACAGTGGCGCACGCAAGCAGCGTCCATCATGCCTCCCATTGATTGTTCCACACAAACTGCTTTAACCAAGTTTGGTTCTCTCATTCTCTCTAAATATCAAACTTTGACTGACCTTTACTTAATAAAGTCATTGCTTGCTTGATCGAGTTTGGATGGTTGGTATTTAATTCCACACTAAACAATATTACAGTTACAAGAGACCCGTGAAGATCCGGGATGGAATAGGTCTGAAGCAACCCATGCTTGCCGTAAAAGGCGACTGTCCTTGTCGTGAGAGGCGACTAACGGGATTGGGTTGTCAGGCTCGCTGACGTGGTTGATGCATGTCATCGTATCCCAATTGCGAACAAACAAACAAAACAGTTACTTGACAACTCCCTGGATAAGACAATCCTGTGATTGATATTATGAGCACTGTCCTACGATGAAGCGCAGTCAAACAAGTTTACGAGCTTGACCACTTGATTCATGTTGACACTCAGGGCCAGCATAGGTTGATGGGGGGTTATTCCAACGCAGAATCCCCGCGGAGAGAGAACCCCCAAATGATTCATTATCCCTTCTCATTTTTGTAGAAAACGGTACTTTCATTTGGATAACATACAAGTCAGGATCGAAACATGAAGAAGCCGGGTAGCGTTGGTTATGATTGGTTGCTTATTAAATAAATCTGACATCATAACAAAAGTCCATTCATCTAAGTGTGTATGTTTTTCATGCATGTATGTAAACACCACTGTCCATTGCAGTTATTTTTTTGTTTTTTTGTTGTTTGTTGTTTAATGCCGCACTCAGCAATATCCCAGCTATATGACGACGGCCTGTAAATAATCGAGTCTGGATCAGACATTCCAGTGATTAACATCACAAGCATCGATCAACACAAGTTGGATACGATGACATGCATCAACCAAGTCAGCGAGCCCGACCACCCGGCCCCGTCAGTTGCCTCTTACGACAAGCATAGTCGCCTTTTTCGGCAAGCATGGGTTCCAACCCGGATCCTCACGGGTCCTTTTGCAGTTAACACCATGGGAAATATAATAACGTTTTCTGAAGTTGGGAAAAGTCACTGCAGTGAACATTACACTTTGACGGAACTATTGTCATACAAGAGTTACCTCCCATCTATCGTAAGTGTCATGCCCGTACACAGACTGTTGACGTCCTTTTTACGTTAGTTCCACATTGACAAGGCAAATTAATGGCAGATGATCATGTATGGAGTTCATATCACTTCTTGCCGTTTTTTATTCTCTCGAAAATGGTTCGATATAAACTGTTAATATCTCATTTAACTCGTCAGTCAAGACCCGTTCGTTTCGCAAAGCGCCGTTTTTGTTACTTGACCAGCGCGTTTTGTTTCGCCTCAAGTTTTTAAGAATATTTTTGTTATTTTTGTGTGTGTATATAATCATACCGAACCGATGACAAAGAATGTTCGTGACCCTAAAGATTTTGTGATTCTTTTGTTTACATTTTGCAAACACAAAGATAGTTTCTCTCGTGGCTACACAGTTGTTGCTCTGTTGCTTCCTGTGGACCCTAGCATCTGTGTTGAGAGTGAGTGAGGTTTTACGCCGCGTTTAGCAATATTCCAGTCCGGGGGATTCCAGTACTCGGCAGAATCTGTAATGACACGTGGTAGTGATAGAGCGTTGACACGTGGTAGTGATAGAGCGTGGTAGTGATAGAGCGTTGACACGTGGTAGTCGATAGAGCGTGGTAGTGATAGGGCGTTGACACGTGGTAGTGATAGAATGTTGACACGTGGTAGTGATAGAGCGTGGTAGTGATAGAGCGTTGACACGTGGTAGTGATAGAGCGTGGTAGTGATAGGGCGTTGACACGTGGTAGTGATAGAATGTTGACACGTGGTAGTGATAGAGCGTGGTAGTGATAGAGCGTTGACACGTGGTAGTGATAGAGCGTGGTAGTGATAGGGCGTTGACACGTGGTAGTGATAAAATGTTGACACGTGGTAGTGATAGAGCGTGGTAGTGATAGAGCGTTGACACGTGGTAGTGATAGAGCGTGGTAGTGATAGGGCGTTGACACGTGGTAGTGATAGAATGTTGACACGTGGTAGTGATAGAGCGTTGTAGTGATAGAGCGTTGACACGTCGTAGTGATAGAGCGTGGTAGTGATAGGGCGTTGACACGTGGAAGTGATAGAGCGTTGACACGTGGTAGTGATAGAGTGTTGACACGTGGTAGTGATAGAGTGTTGACACGTGGAAGAGATAGAGTGTTGAAACGTGGAAGAGATAGAGTGTTGACACTTGGAAGAGATAGAGCGTTGACACGTAGTAGTGATAGGGCGTTGACACGTGGTAGTTATAGAGCGTGGTAGTGATAGAGCGTGGTAGTGATAGATCGTGGTAGTGGTAGGGCGTTGACACGTGGAAGTGATAGGGCGTTGACACGTGGAAGAGATAGAGCGTTGACACGTGGAAGAGATAGAGTGTTGACACGTGGAAGAGATAGAGTGTTGACACGTGGAAGTGATAGAGTGTTGACACGTGGAAGAGATAGAGTGTTGACACGTGGAAGTGATAGAGTGTTGACACGCGGAAGAGATAGAGTGTTGACACGTGGAAGAGATAGAGTGTTGGCACGTGGAAGTGATAGAGTGTTGACACGTGGAAGAGATAGAGCGTTGACACGTGGAAGAGATAGAGTGTTGACACGTGGAAGAGATAGACTGTTGACACGTGGAAGAGATAGAGTGTTGACACGTGGTGGTGATAGAGTGTTGACACGTGGAAGAGATAGAGTGTTGACACGTGGAAGAGATAGAGTGTTGACACGTGGAAGTGATAGAGTGTTGACACGTAGAAAAGATAGAGTGTTGACACGTGAAAGAGATAGAGTGTTGACACGTGGAAGAGATAGAGTGTTGACACGTGGAAGTGATAGAGTGTTGACACGTGGAAGAGATAGAGTGTTGACACGTGGAAGAGATAGAGTGTTGACACGTGGAAGAGATAGAGTGTTGACACGTGGAAGTGATAGAGCGTTGACACGTGGAAGTGATAGAGCGTTGATACGTGGAAGTGATAGAGCGTTGATATGTGGAAGTGATAGAGCGTTAACACGTGGATGTGATAGAGCGTTGATATGTGGAAGTGATAGAGCGTTGACACGTGGATGTGATAGAGCGTTGACACGTGGAGGTGATAGAGCGTTGATATGTGGAAGTGATAGAGCGTTGACACGTGGATGTGATAGAGCGTTGACACGTGGAGGTGATAGAGCGTTGACACGTGGAAGTGATAGAGCGAAGGAGTGACATCCACAAGTCAGCTCTGTCTTTCTTCTTCACGAAACTGATTATTATTGTGTTCAGCGTTTATGTCACCATATTAGAATGACCTTGTCAAAGCCAGCATCTGTAACATGTGGTTGGGAATGTCCCGACAATACCAAGCCAGCAGCATTACATCAGAGGGGTGAAGCAGCTGATCAATGGTTGGACTATCCTGGGGCTAAGCAGGAGCTCCATCATGTCTGCAGAAGTATTGCTTTAAAATGGTTTATTCGTGTGTGAGGCATCACTTAAAGGTCGACCACGATGGAGCGCATGTCGTAACACTGATGCCACCAAAGGAGACCTGCTCATTACTTCGGTATTGATGAAACAGCGAGTCTGGGAGGAGCTATTACATCACAGGGACAGGGGAACGGGAGGGGGACTATTATCACCGTCAGTCCAGATCCCCGAGGGGGACGGGCAGAGTGAGGGTCATCTCTACTGACACAGGACACAGCAGGACAGGAAACGAATGTGGGGACGTTTTGTAGGTTCCAGTGATTTGAGCGCCTTTCTGGTCTGCTCTCAGACAGGTTAATGGTGATTTGCAAGTTGTTGATTAATGCCTCTGACTTCCTTGTTACTTAGTGGCCACGTCTATTGAGCAGGAGACATGCACAGAAGCAGGGAAATACTTTGAATAGAATGTGATGTGAGGTGAGGTGAGGTGAGGTGAGGTGAGGTGAGGTGAGGTGAGGTGAGGTGAGGTGAGGTGACTGAATGACTGAATGACTTAATGACTGAATGAATGAGGTTGGTTACCGGCCCCGTGTACACTGATATTAATTCCATTGGTTACATGTAACCGGCTGACTTGGGCGCCAGGTAAACAGGAGTAGGTTATTCTGAAAATTACACTTGTTTGTTTGTTTGTTTGTTTGTTGTTTAACGCCGCACTCAGCAATATTCCAGCTATATGAGAGCGATCTGTAAATAATGGATTCTGTACCAGACAATCCAGTGATTGACATCATGAATATCGAACCACACAATTTGGATACAATGACATGCATCAACCAAATCAGCGAGCCTGACCACCCGATCCCGTTAGTCACCTTTTACGACAAGCATCGTCGCCTTCTACGGCAAGCCTTGGTTGCTGAAGACCTATTCTACCATGGATCTTCACGGGTGTTAACTTCAGTGGTTAAATTACAATTTGAAACAGAAGTACCATAATTCTTCAATTTAGGAGTAAACGCTGAGATTCGTAACAACAACATCCTCAATTTTCGACTTTGCAATAAACGAGTCGAAATAAACATTACATGTTTTCAGATTTGAAGGTCTTAGTGGCCATGGGTATGTTATATTCCCCAATCCCTTAAAACCGACGATGTAAGCCGAAGGATTCAAATTACAAATATCCGCTGAAGCAGTCACGATCAGTTCAGAAGATGTCAAGGATCCAATCCCAAATGCCAACGTTTTCAACAAATCCGATTCAGACATTCTCTCTGAAGTTTCAGTTTACAGCAATACATAGACAAACATCAACAAAATGATTACAGTTTGTTTGACATGGCCTTTCTCGAATGCACGCTTTGCGCCAAAATTCAACGCTAAAATATCTTCTAAGATACACGCGGCTGCGCCTTTTTGCTTTCTCGTCAGCTGAGAACTCTCTGGAGCACACATTTCCCTGTATGCATATCATAATTCATATTCATATATTATTCATGTTTGTTGGATGGGGTAAGGGACTATACAAAAAGGCTTTTATTGAATGATGGTGTCTGTTGTGAATTTGCCCCCTGGGTTTCCGATGGCATGTTTGACTGAGTACTGCGCACGCTATGTTTTGACATGTAGCATATTCCGTGGGCCCATAGAGAACGCATAGTTCAGTGTACATTTGCGATTAACGCTAATGTATAATCACGTGGGAGGGTAGGTTATTGCTGTTGTTCTTTTGGTGTTGTTGATGTTGTTTAACGCCGCACATTCCAGGTATATGACGGCGGTCTATAAATCATCGAGTCTGGACCAGACAATCTCGTGATTGACATTATGAGCATCGATCTACGCAATTAGGATACGATGACGTGCATGAGCCAAGTCAGTGAGCCTGACCACCCGGTGCCGTTGGTCGCCTCTTACAACCAGCATAGTCGCCTTTTACGGCAAGCATACATTGCTGAAGACCTATTCTACCCTTGATCTTCACGGGTGGTGAGGGTATGTATCACACCGGCGTCCGACATTTCAATGCAGTCCGAGGATATTTCCTGAAAGAGGCGAGAGGTGTAATGGGCTTAAACGCCACGTTCTAGTATGTTGCATGTACAGTGACGTATGGTGTGCGCGGTCGTGTGTGCGTGTGTGTGTGTGCGTGTGTGTGTGCGTGCGTGCGTGCGTGCGTGCGTGCGTGCGTGTGTGCGTGTGTTTGCGTGCGTGTGTTAGTGTGTGTGCGTGCGTGCGTGCGTGCGTGCGTGCGTGTGTGCTCAGAGCCGACCTTCGTGCGGAGCGCTAGGCAGAGTGACGCAAGTGGCATCCTTTAACGTCTTTTGGTATGGCCCAGATCGAATTACCGACCGTCTGACACATTATCCTAAGGGCCAGGGAGACCTGCATGAGCTCCCCCACGTGTTCAGTTCGCATCCCCTTCAGATTGAGTGAGTGAGTGAGTTGGGTTTATCGCCGCTTTAACAGTATTCCAGTTATATCACGGCGTATCAACGTAATGTGGGAGGAAAGCCCGAAGTGATTCAGGTGTTAGACGTTTACCACTTCGGTGAAACCCACGAGCACAAGCATGGTGCTGACACACCTAGAAACATAATCGGGGCGAACCGGGATTCGAACCCACAATCATAGGTTTCTGGCGTGCCCAAGGGACGCAACTCTGCACAGCGAATCGCGGCGCCTTAGACGACTGGGCCACCCGTGCCCCCACATCCTCTTCAGGAGGGACGGACCAGATGAGATTGTGTCTGTAGCCCACAGATAGCTATTGTTTTCGATCACTATGTCACCGCGTTTTTTTGTCTCTGAGTCAAGGAGACAAATAGTTTCCTGATTCCACAACACAATTTCTTTCAGGGTGATTTCACCAAACAATTTAGTGTTGTTGTTTTCTGTTAAACCTGGGGCAATTTTTTTCTTCTATTTTTTCAAAATTTCCACAAAAAAGATCCCAGCCCACTGCGGAAAAACTTCGTGGGTTTCGGATTGTCTGTTTTTTAAAAATACTCCAGCTCCAAATAAAACAAAACAATTTTACATTCTTCAAACCTGGTTGATGTGAATGACATGTTTTGAAAAGGTTCTGAAAACAATAATTATCTCAACAGAAATTCAAACCCTCTCACGTTTCACGGGTATTTTTTAGTAGCACGTGCTCCTGCGGAAGTTTACTCACAAGGGAGCTGCACAAGGAGCTTTGACCAATCTTATAATGTAACTACATGACCAAAACTAAAACTATCCCTTAAGGTTACAGTTTCAGTATATATAAGATGTTTGTTCTAGTGTTTGCTTGTTGTTTAACGCCGATCTCAGCAATGTTTCAGCTGTATGACGGCCGTCTGTAGGTGAGTGAGTGAGTTGGGTTTAACGCCGCTTTTAACATTATTCCAGTTATATCGCGGCGTGTCAGCTTAATGTTGGGAGGAAAGCCCGAAGTGATGCAGGTCTCAGACGTTTACCACTTCGGTGAAACCCACGAGCGCGGGTATGGTGCTGACAAACCTAGAAACATAATCGGGGCGAACCGGGATTCGAACCCACAATCATAGGTTTCTGGCGTGCCCAAGGGGCGCAACTCTGCACAGCGAATCGCGGCGCCTTAGACGACTGGGCCACCCGTGCCCCCACATCCTCTTCAGGAGGGACGGACCAGATGAGATTGTGTCTGTAGCCCACAGATAGCTATTGTTTGTTTTCGATCACGATGTCACCGCGTTTTTTTGTCTCCCCCCCCGTCTGTAGGTAATCGAGACTGTACCAGACCATGAACCCACTGTGGGCAACGGCACGGAAATAACCAAATCACCCTGACTGACTACTGATTCCTTCTGCCGCCTTACGACAAGTTTAAGTTGCTAGCCACCAGTTTGGTGGCACTTGGTCTTATGTACAGTACACAGTTGAGAAATCAAAGTGAAATTACGCAGAGCTGACGGGCGGGTGTGTTCGCCAGCTTGATTCTTGACACTTCGAAGGGCTTCGGTCCTGACCCACACTGAAACACATTGACCACGTTTGGTGACTCCTTAGGCAAGCGGCTTTGTCGGAAATATGATTCTGTTCATCCAGTGGGTACCCGGAAGGATAAAGTGGTCACGTGATTGTGACGTGAGTGCACATCGTCATCATCACCATTAATTATTATTATTATTATTGTTATTATTATTATTATTATTATTATTATTATTATTATTATTACTTACAGATTAAAATAAATAAATGCAGCAAAGTGATCCTGGCACCGTCAGGCTGGTTAGGCTCATCATCAGCTCAGGGCCCTTGCCCCCTCTCCACGCAGCCCAGACAGCGAATGGGACTTCTGAGGCACCGAGAACAATGGGGAATCGGACAACTTGATACTTGGGATGCAAGCGAAAAGCGAGGTCTGCATATTTCCCATGTTTTTCCTCAATCTTGTCAATCACATTACTGTCAAAAGGGACAGAAAAAAATCAATGATATAAATGATTTCATTGGATTCATCAAAAAGGACAAGATCAGGTTTGTTGGCCAGGATATGTCTGAGGCTGTATACGGGCCTATTCCAAAGGATTTCATGATTATCATTTTCCATGACGCCCTCTGCATATTCCGGGTCGTACCATGGATGGACCTCTCTGGCACAAAACCCTATTAGTTTAGCAAGATGGCTAAAATGGCAGTTAAAAACATTACTGAGAAAGGAGCTCGTGCAAATTCCTTACCAATTGGTAGAAGCTATCCGGAATTCTGTTAATCTGCAGTCTGGTCTCAGCTGGGAATACAATCAGATTGGTTCCACAAACTGTATAGAGGAGCTTCGCTTAAGCACTTGCATTTGCTATGCACTGTTTCCGGTATGTCTGATTTGTAGTCAGTGCTAGGCATTAATGCAATCTTACACATTGTATTCTCTTCTTTGTGACGAGAATTCTGACAAACCTTCAGTGCCTCATCTGTAATGTCCGCCTGTTTATCGCTGATATACATGATACAATCCGACCATAAACTGACTTGGTAATTCCTCTCAGTGAATGAAGTTTTAAAACGAGGAAGCGGTGATACTTCTGTGACATTGATGTTAATGTTACAGGAGGCGGATAATACAGACCTGTGAGTTATGTCCGAGACGGGTCATGGCGAGGTGTTGCTAATGGTTATTAATGGCAGACCGGACCAGCGGGCACTGTCCCGTGAGAGAGATCCATCTTTATTAATCTATACACATACTGGGCTGCATTCATCACGTTGGGCTCAAACTTGCCATTCATGTCTTTTAAACCCTTGACGTTTGAGTGGGAGAAGACATGTAAAAAATATTTGAATGTTAGAAATCAGATATCTTCGTGGACAATGCTCATCGAAATGTGAAAATACATTTCATAAGGCACAATATAAATAGCTATTGGTGTTGTCAAGCGAATATTAAAGAAAAACTCTATCATTAAGTTCAAATAATGAGGGGCGTTTATTTTGT